ATTGTAACATGTCTGTTAATATTTTGTCAATTATGTTTAGCTCATTTACTTAATTTCTGAGTTATAAACTTTTATAAAGCGAAGACTATCCTTTTTTTCTATATATATTTAATTATAAAATATTTTAGACATTCAAAAAGAAAAAAACAAACCCCCATGTACCCACAATCCACCTTAAGAAATAAATTACCAGGAATCTACATAGCGTAGCGCTTTAAACGAGCTGATATATATGAAACCCTCGGGACAGTGCCCAGCATATGGTAACATTATCATGTTAGCTATTCTGATTACCATGGTCTGATTACAGACCACATACTCAAAATTTCTGGGCTTGTTTCACTAATCTATTCCATAAAGAGACAGATTTGAGCCAAATTTGAAATACTCTTAAAAACGGTTTAAAAACACACATTTCAAGATTTTATCTTTAAACAAAATATTTTTGAAATAAGGTATCCTTTTGTAAGGTTTATAATCTATACTATTGCTAATTTTCATTTGTTAGCTATAATTTGTGAGCATATTTATACTGTTGCTTTGCAATATTTTTCATGTACCTTAATATTACAAATTTCTAGATAGACCTTACCTTTGCTAGCTGGATTTTAATCTGACCCTGGCAAACTCTGTGAAACTGCTTAGGAAACACTTCATGTGTTTATGAGCATTTCTGGCAAGAAGAAATCTACAGCTTTCATTGATTTTCTCAAAGGAATCTCTGACCTCCATTTTCCCAAAGCAAATAAATACTGAGCTAAATGAAAACACCTAACTTTATAACAAACCTGGACAGAACCTGAAATAAAATATCCTCAACCGGATGTTTTCCATTATGAAAGCATTTTTCCCCGATTATATAGGTAACGCGTTTATCATTTAAAAATAAGAAAAAAAAGTTTAAAGTTCTCTTGCTATGATAAATAAGAATAATATGGATATATACCACAAAAGGAGCCCCGGTGGTGCAATGGCTGAGAGCTAAGCAAACGGCCAGCAGTTCAAATCCACCAGCTGCTCCTTTGAAACCCTATGGAGCAGTTCTACTCTGTCCTATAGGGTCACTGTGAGTCGGAATCGACGCAATAGCAACATACCACAAAAAGAATAGTATAGGCTGAGTTTGCAGTACAATTTGCTTAATACTTGAATGTCTGGTACTGTAAATTTGTACCTTGTGATGGTAAATAAATCTGATACAGGAAGCTCTGTAAGAACTAACTGGGATTCAGTAAAAACCTGCAATGCGTAACATACTGATACTCTGGTTATCCAGTAATATAATAATCAAGTATTATGAATATATTTTGAAAAATGCATTTTGAAAGGTAAAAATGAAGAAGTCTTGTGTAAGGGCAAAACAAAATGCATTTGAGACGATGTTAAAAAACATATTTCAAAATAAATCTTTAATTAAAAAAATATTTTTCATAAAAGATTCATTTTTTTCCTTTTGTTTAGAATAAAAATCAACTGTCTGAAAAAGGTACATACAGTATACTTTCAGTAGCTAGAATATATTAATAATGGAAGGTTTTAGTGAGTCACATAACAAAATGCTTCAATTAATCATGGAGTAGTACACTGGGCATTACTGATAAAGCAAATAAAATACAATTCCTTTTAATCCACAACACACATCATGTGCACATCTACTATTCTTTACCACAGCATAAATTAAGGTTATGATTTCAGAACTTTTTGAAATTCATCTGATGAAATTTTGCTAATGTTGTTGCTTTTTTATATTCAGGAAATAAAAAGAAAAATGAAACTGGAAGTTACAAATGTAAAACATACTCAATACGAAACACGGCCACCATGATGACTACAGATGCTCAAATCCCAATCCCTTTCCCCCACTCTTATCCTTTCTTGTAAAGTGGAACCAGCTATAGGATCGCCTGCAGTTTCTGCTACTGGGTGTGAGATCTATGTGGGGAGCAGGTACATACTGCACATACAACACCCTGCAAAGTGCCTCACAAACAGGAGACACTCAATGAATATCCATGCAATGAAGAAAAAAGAAATGTGAGAATAGCTAGTGATCTGAGGACTGGGATGGAGCTGGGAATGGGGAGTAGAAAATACAATAAATAAAAGTGAAATAATGCTTGTAAAAAGTCATATTGTAAAATCAGAAAAAATTTAAATTCAGAACATATGACTATTCATTCTGTCATGAAGCACAAACTCTTCTAATAGGAGGGACCACTCCTCAAATCTGTAAAGCCAGTATTTTACTGATACCAAAATCAGCCAAAGACCTCATAAGAAAAGAAACTACAGACCAATATCCCTTATGATACAGAAACAAAAATCTTCAACAAAATACTAGAAACTAAATCTAGCAACATACAAAAAGGATTACATATCATGACCAATTGAGATTTAACCTAGGAATGCAAATTTGGTTTGTTTTTGCTGTTGTGTGCTGTCAGGTCAACTTGCAACTCACAACAACCCCATGTGACAGAGTAGAACGGCCACATAGGGTTTTCTTGGTTGTAATCTTTTTGGAAGCAGACTACTAGGTCTTTCTTCCACAGTGCCACTGGATGGGTTCAAACTGCCAACCTTTCAGTTAGCAATCACTTAATTGTTGGGCCATGATATCAATTAATGTAATACACTGAATCAAAAGAATGAAAACTAAAAACCACATGATCATCTTAAGACACAGAAAAAGTACATGACAAAATCCAATACCCTTTCAAGATGAAAACACTCAGCAAACTAGGAATAGAAGAGAACTTCCTCAACCTGATAGACAGCATCTATAAAACCCACAGCTAGTATCACACCAGATGGTGAAACACTGAATGCTATCCCCCTAAGATCAGGAACAAGACAAGGATGCTCTCACCAATTCTATTCAACCTTGTACAAAAATTTCTAGCCAAGGAAATTAGGTAAGACAAGGAAATAAAAGGCAGTCAGGTTGGAAAGAAATAAAACCATCTTTATTTGAAGATAACATGATCTTGTATATAGAAAATACTAAGTAGTCCACTAAAAAACTACTAGAACAAATAAGTTCAGCAAGATCACAGCATACAAGATCAATAAACAAAAATCAACTTCTAAACACCTGCAATGAACAATCAATTGTTCATTGAACTGTTAAGAAAACAATTCAGTTTACATTAGTATCAAAAAGAATAAAATACTTAGGTATAATTTTAACAGAAGTCCAAGACTTACACTCTGAAAACTACAAAACACTGTTGAAAGAAATTAAAGATCTAAATAAATGGAAAGACATCCCGTGTTCATGAATCAGAATAATTTATACTGTTACCATGATAATATTCCTCAATGATCTACAGACTCAATGCAATCCTTATCAGAATCCTACCTGACCTCTTTGTAGAAACTGGCAAGTTGATCCTAAAATTATATGGAATTACAGAATTGCAAGGAACCCAGAATCACCAAAACAATCCTGAAAAGAAAGAATAAAGTAAGAAGATTTATATTACTTGATTTCCAAACTTACTACAAAGCAACAGTAATCAAGACAGTGTGGAACTGGCATAAAGACAGGCAAGGAGACCAATGGCATAGAATTGAGAGTGTAGAAATAAACCCATACATCCATGGTCAATAACAAATGGTGCTGAACAATTGGATAGTCACATGCAAAAGGTAAAGTTGGACCCCTCCCTCATGCCATACATAAAAATCAACTCAAAATGGGTCAAAGACCTAAATATAAGAGTTAAAACTATAAAACTCTCAGAAGAAAATATAGGTAGGGGTAAAATCTTTGTGACCTTGAATTTGGCAAAAAGCACAAGCAGTAAAAGAAAAAAGAGATAAACAAGACTGCATCAAAATGAAAACTTTAGTGCATCAAAGGACACTCCGAAAATAATGAAAAGACAACCTACAGAATGGATGAAAACATCTGTAAAGCATATATCTGAATTTATGAAGAACTATTATAACTGAATAATAAAGACAAACAATTAAAAGTAGGCAAAGGATCTGAATAGCTATTTCTCCAAAGAAGATACACAAATTGCCAATAAGCACATGAGAAGATGCTCAACATCATTAGTTACTAGGGAAATGCAAATTAAAACTACAATGAGAAACCACTGAACGCCCAATTTAAAAAAAACCAACTGTTGAGTGAATTTCAACTCATGGCAGCCCCACGTGTTTCAGAGTAGAAATGTGCTCCATAGGGTTTTCAATGGCTGTGATCTTCTGGAAGTAGACAGCCAGGACTTTCTTGTGAGGCACTTATGGGTGGGTTTGAACTAACCTTTCGGTTAGTAGCTGAGTGCTTAACTGTTTGCACCACCCAGGAACTCCCAAACACCCAATAGAATGGCTATACTCAAACAGAGAGATAATAACAAGTGTTGACGAGGATGCTCAAAGATCCTAATCCTCATATACTGCTGGTGTAAGCCCAAAATGGTGCAGCCGCTTTGGTATACAGTTTGACAGGTTCTCGAAATGTTAAATATTGAGTTACCATGTGATCCAGCAAATCCATTCCTGGGTATATACCTGCCTCTCAAAAAAAAATAATCACACAAAAACCTGTATGCAAATACTCACAGCAAGAATATTCATTAATAGCCAAAAAGTGGAAAACAACCCAAATGTCCATCAATCGATGAATGGATAAATAAATGTGGTACATCCATATAATGGAATATTCAGTCATAAAATGAAGTACTGATACATGCTACATGAATGAACCTTGAAAACACTATGCGAAGTGAAAGAAGCCAATGACAAAAGACCACATAGTATATGATTATATGAAATGTACAGAACAGGCAAATTTATGGAGATAGAAAGTTGATGAGTGGTTGGCTAGGGCGGTGGGATGGAAGTTTGGAAGATAAAAGTTATAAGGGTATAGGGTTTCTTTTTGGGGTGATGAAAATATTAGATAGTGGTGATGATTGAACAACTCTGTGAATACACTAAACACCACAGAATTATACACTTTAAATAAGTGAACTGTTACAACAATAAATAAATAAATAGGTGAATTGTACAGTACCTGAATTATATCTCAATAAAGCCGTCATCAAAGAATTGGGAAAAAAGAGAATACACTAACTGATAATATTGTTCATAATGTAATTCCTATTTATTCTCTCTTTACTAAATACCAAGTTGGATCATGAAGCAGACTAGAACCCAAGAAAATAAGCATACATATAAGTCTCTTCCAATGCAGGGGAAAAAATACTGTTGAACTTAAGAAACTCTTCTAAAAGCTCAACTCACAATTATCTGTCTGCTGATTTGTTAAATATTATCAGTGATCTTGGTTATCACTGAACATAAATTCAAGTTTAGAGTTTTGAGGTTTTTAAAAAACGGAACTATTATATCATTAGAGCAACCAGGTAACATGAAAGAGTAAACACAAAACATACTAGTTGCTGATTCTAATAATATTCTAAGAATCTTTTTATATAACTCTTTAAAATGATCTCAACAGAGCTATCATGTATAAAGGAATGCCAGAAGATATTATTAAAGGTAGTTAATGATTGACCATAGATTTATAAATTGTCATTTGTTTTTATTGTTGATTTCCTTAACTACAATAAAACAGCTTAAAAAGTATCATTCTTAAATGATGGTGCATATATCAGAAGATTAGTAATAATGCTAAAAAAATACTTACATGTCTATGAAAAACTTTTAAATTAACACAAACAAATTCATAACATTTTGAATAGATTTAAATTATATCCATTCAGGAACAAGTAATAGCATGATTTCATGATGGCTCATGATAAGATACTGTATTGAATATTCTTAAATTAAGCAACTGTTTCTCATGGTATGCATTATTTTCCTTGTTGGTTTGTTCATCCAGTGATTTTCTTATACAGTTCTTTAATTCTTCAATTCCTTCTCCAGTAATTGCAGAGATTGGAATAATATGTTGGAACTCCATAGTCCTCTCTGGAATCATGTTTTTTTCAAATAAGTGCAGAAAATCTGAAACAAAGAACACGAAGCTAATTTTCATTGTCTTTGAAAGTAAGCCAAAGCTATGTTAAAGGTTTGATTTGTGAACGAGGCAACCTAAAACAGCATTTTTAACTCCCTTTTTTCTTCTCTCTCGAATAAACTCTCAGAACATTTGGTTTTCACTCGCTAGTGATAATGGTAAGGTTCTTGACCCATGATCTACCACCACCACCAGGTGTCAAGTCGATTACAATGCATGGTGGCCCCATGTATGTCACAGTAGAACTGTGCTCCATAGGCTTTTCAATGGCTGATTTTTCAGAAGTAGATCATCACTCCTTTACTCTGAGGTGGCTCTGGGTGAACTTGAACCTTCAACCTTTTGGTTAGCAGTTGAGTGCATTAACCATTTAGACCCCCCAGGGATACATGATACTTGCTCAGTAAACCATTGTTGGATGAATATATTTCAAACAAAAGGATAAAAAGTAGATGAATCAGACAAGATGATTTACTCACAAAAGCAGTAAGTTTCGCTTTTTTTGGATCAATCTTTAAAAGAATCTTTCTGTAAAAAAATTAAAAAACTATTAATTTGGGACAGTAGCTTGTCTCAGTACACAGGAGTCCTTTAACTTTCCCAAAGTATAGACTTATCATCACTGATGCTAAGATCCATAATAAAATGAAAAAGATGTGGAAAGAACTCAAGGGGAGATCATTTCAGATGAGTCATACCTATGCCCCCTGGGGCTAACATGTGTTATATTCTTTTTCTTTTTCCCTGCAGCCAAGGCAACGGAAGGGGCAGGCATACTAATTAGATGGGTTAACACTGATATGAACAGGAAAGGCTGGACTGAAAGAGACTAGACAAGTCCAAAGAGAATTCTGGTTCCTGAGATTCATAGGTCCTCAAGGAAATTCAAAAAGCCTAATTCGGGAAACATGACTGGGGCACATTTTATTTTATGATGGTGCAGAATAGCCACAGACTTTTGAGTTATCCTTCCTCCTTGTCCTTCCTCTGAAAATTCCCTCTTCTCCAAGACCAGCTAGCAAATAGATCTAATAACCTTATTAAAACAAACAACATTAAGGTGTGAAGACTAGGCGTTTAACAATTCCAAGGCATATTTATATCCTGAGAGGAATCTATCAACTCAAGGACAGCTCCAAAAAGTAAATTACACCAGGGAGATGTTCTTGAGAAGGGAGAAATGACCTTCTGGTGCTGTCTCCTAGTTTTAGCACACCACAATCTACTTCCCCTAATTTTTATCCCAAGGAAAAAACATACGGAAATCAGTACTATTTAATAACATGCTACTGCACTTATCATCTACCCTACTTTTCCTGATTTTTGCAAGAGGTCTTGTACTAGATAGACTCAGAAAAATGAAAGTCTCATCACTGTAGGATGGAGGGGAGTCTGCAAAGGTCAATATTCAAAATTGTGGAGAGTCCCTTTTAGTTCCTTTCCACAAAGTGGTCTATTTAGGAACAAATTTCAAATAAATAAATCCTTTTGTAGTGACAGCGTGTATTTTTCTGTGTCACACACACATACGAGCACTCGAGTTCTTACTGGAAGACTAATACTCTCCAGAGACTAGTTGGAGTTACAAAGAAACACACCTCTTTAGAACTATTGGCTGTTTTAAAATTACAGTGTACTAGGGGAACCATAAGGAGCCCTGGAGGTACAGTAGTTAAAGAGATCAACTGCTGATCAAGAAGTCGGCGGTTTGAAATCACCAGTTGGCTCCGAGGGAGAAAGACGTGGCAGTCTGCTTCCACAGAAATTTACAGCCTTGGAAACCTTATGGGGTCGCTATGAGTAGGAATCAACTTGACGGCAGTGGGTTTAGTTTTTTTGGTTTTAGGAACCAGAAGGAGCCCTGGTGGCAAATTCGTTAAACGTTCAGCTGCTAACCAAAAGGTTGGTGGTTTGAATCCACTAGTCCGCTCCACAAGAGAAAGATGTAGCAATCTGCTTCCGTAAAAGATTATAGCCTTGGAAACCCTATGAGGCAGTTCTACCCTGTCCTATAGGGTCCCTATGAGCAGGAATCGACTCAATGGCAATGGGTTACAGGAACCAGAAGTTCTACAACTTGTGAAACGTGTTGATTGAACTGAAACACCTCACAGGTAGATGCCGACTTTTTCCTCTTGTTATCCAAATCTTATCCAATTATCCACTCTTTAAAAGCCCAGTTTCAGTTTTACTTCTTTATGAAGCCTGCATTCCTTAACTGGTATTAATCTTTCTTTTATCTTTTCTCCTCTAACTTACTGTTATATCACACCTTCTGGAACTTGATAGTAATTATGTTACAATGTTATTTAAAATGCTTCATATGGTATATGTTCTTTCTTCAAACGTAAGTTTTTTTAAGTGTAGAAACCGTCAGTTTCCTTTTTCCTTCATTGTAGCACTTAGCATCAGTCTCTGCATCTAGTAGATATTCAATATATATGCAGTAAATGAATGAATGGAAACCCTGGTGACATAGTGGTTAAGAGCTACTGCTGCTAACCAAAAAGGTCAGCAGTTCAAATCCACCAGGTGCTCCCTGGAAACCTTATGGGGCAGTTCTACTCTGTCCTATAGGGTCCCTATGAGTCAGAATCAACTCAACGGCAATGCGTTTTTTTTGTTTGTTTGTTTAAATAAATGAATAGGTTTACCTTTAGGATTCTGGAGTTGGTTCATCAGTTCACGGAATTTATCTCGGGCATTTGGCAAATCCATTTTATTAACTGCCAGAAGTGCGGGTTTTGTTTGAAGTTCCTCTTTGTACAACTCCAACTCCTTTAAACCAACAGAAAAAAAAAATAAGTTTATAAAATTATTGATATGAATTATTTAGTAATGTCTTTACTTTATAAGCCTGCGTAATCTATAACCCTCTCACATCTCTGAAATGCAATTAACTCCCAACAACCACAAAACTGATTAACAAATGAAATTCAGAAAATGTTCACTGGTTAGATCATTTGTTAAGTGTGACACGATGACACATGACATCCTAGAGACAGCTGTGCTTTTGTGCTTAGAGCAAAACACAGATACCAAGACTTCTATAAAGCACACAGATAAAATTCATAGAGACATTTGGGGAAGAGGGAGAGGGAACAAAACTGCCTCTGGTTGAGAAACACTGCTGCAATAGGATGTAATGTGATTCTAAGTTCATTACATTCACTACAGCTTCACTAATGGAAAATGGTTGGCTTACCTCTCTTTTGATAATTTCTCTTTTTTTTTAATGTTTCTTTTGTTTTTTCATAGTACTTTAGATGACGGTTTACACAGCAAACTAGCTTCTCATTAAACAGTTAATACACATATTGTTTTATGACACTGGCAGCCAACCACGACATGTCAACACTCTCCCCTTCTCGGCCTTACGTTCCCCGTTACCAGCTTTCCTGTCCCCTCCTGCCTTCTAGTCTTGCCCCTGGGCTGGTGTGCCCATTTAGTCTCGTTTTGTTTCTGGGCCTGTCTAATCTTTGGCTGAAGGGTGAACCTCAGAGTGACTTCATTACTGAGCTATAAGGGTGTCCGGGGGCCGTA